TATTTCATCCAATTCTGGGTCGATTCTAGCTACGATTGAGGAGTCTTTGTCGGGCTTGTCATAGGGCTTCACCTTTCTGTCGGGGCCTATCTCAACCTGCTTCCAGAGAAAGGACCACAATGAAAGTGATGGCATACCCTGAGCTCTGACTCCGTGGTTAGCTGCAACAACTTCTGATTCTGATGATGAGGTTGTGACGCTTGTCTGTTTCTTGGAAAAGGCGTTGAGAGGGAAGTACGTGTTAGGGCCTACCAGCGCGATCATGCAACCGGATGTAGACTTACTATCAGCATCCCCAGCCCAGTCAGCATCACAAAACATCCATAGTTTGCGGAGGTTTTATCCCCTACAAACCCTTTCAGCTTGATGTTCATGGAGGAGTTTATATAGCAGATCAACCTATGTAGGGCAATGTCGCAATCGGGCGACCATTTGGTAACCCTAGACGCGAGGGCTTGCGTAGCACGGAGAAGGTCCCAACGGGCCACGCGCGCTGCAAAGAGTACCTTCATGAGGATGCGTGATGCAATACCCGCAAGCTTACCGGTTGGCTCTTTGTCAGGATCCACCGGCTTGGCGATACGGGCCTCATGAAAAGGCGTAGCAGCATGCCTCAGGGTTTTCCGATCTACCTTAGCCAATTCGCAGTACTTCTCTACACAGGTGCCAAGAAAATCCTCCATGTCGTAGGTTACTGCGTTGACTTTGTTGACCATACAAGGGGTTGGTTCGTCAATGATGGATTCGGGCGGCTTGAACCTACTTTCTTTGACCTTGTTCTTAGCTTCTGTCTTGCTGCGTGGATTCTTCTTCTTGTAGGATGCAAGAGCATAAGTGAAGTCTTCCACTGGGGTTTCACGATCAAGTGGGAAATAAGTTCTGCCGGTCCACCAGTCAAACTTAGCTTCACCCCCTGGCTGAAGTCGTCAACATGTAACTCTGCCTTCGAATCAAACTCGGTTACACGATCGGTCCCCATCATGGGAAAAGCTAATACGTCGTCTTCAGTTGGAACGTACAGCTTCTTTCTTGGGTACACATGATGTCTAACCACTGCACCAGCCTCTAAGTCTACTTCCCGGAAATCCCTCCTGACCGGCGATGGGTTTCCCCTCGCAATAGCTGCGGGCTTTCCCTCAAAGACACGGGCAAAAGGGTGCTCGGATTTGGGACAGGAGATTTGTTGCTGTTCTACGTGGTTACAACCAAAGTAACGGCCAAGGGCTTCGGGAGGATCCATATCAATGACGCTGTTGATGTCCTTCCAACCTTGGGCCATGTTCTTGGTGGGACCTGCCAGATCCATCCTACGGACTTAAGCTGGGTCTCGCAACGCTTTTCCCAAATGCCGCCGGCATCGGGATGGCCATAGAGAGCTAATCGAAGCGGGCATACGGGGTCTCGGTAGCCTTTCCAGGAACTGGGCCAACGATTCTTAGGCAAACGAACCCTTGTAGCTATACCTTCGAAAAGTGCTTGGGTATACCCTTGTCTAGCATCCGCCTGCTGCTTCGAGAAGCCTGGTTGCGAGCCATATGCGTCAAGAATTTTACCTGGTTCCATTGAGGCTGGGGAAGAACCTAACTCAGCGAAAAGGGCATGGTCATGATGTTCGTCATGCACACGGTTTCCTTGAAAAACACTTCTACCCTTCCACTTCTTGTTGGGATCCCCGTCAGGCAATTCTGATCCTTTCTGCGAGCAGATTTCAAAGATCCGTCCGAAGTGGACCTTTGCATTGTTTTTGCGTGCCTCATTGGCAACATCATCATACTCACGGACCTTTTCTTCGAGCCAACACGTTTTCTTCCGAAGTTTCTCCCACTCCGCATCCATTGCTTTTTGGGCATCAGGAGTTCTATCGAGTTCGGACTGTGAAACAACCCGTGCTACCAAAACGAAAACATCGAACACTGCCTGTTCAAGCTTGTCCTCTAGCAACTCTCTCACGCGAACCCTTTCAGCGACAGAGCCAGCTT